GGTAACTCTATGATTTATCTATTGTTGTATGTTGATGATATGCTTATTGCTGCTAACAACATCACATAGATAAATATTTTGAAGAAACTGTTAAGCAAGGAATTTGACATGAAGGATTTGAGAGTTGCAAAGAAAATCCCTGGAATGGAGATTTCAAGAGAAGACGGTATTGTACATCTTTCTCAAAAAAGGTACATCAAAAAGGTTCTCGCGAGATTCAATATGCATATAAGCAAGCCTGTAAGTACACCGTTAGTTTCTCATTTCAAGCTTTCAGAGTTACAAATGCCTCAGTCTATGGATAAGGTGGAGCATATGTCAAAAGTTCCTTATGCGAGCACATTTGGCAGCATTATGTATGCTATGGTGTGCACACGTCCAGATATTGCTCAATCTGTAAGTGTGGTAAGTAGGTACATGGCAAATAAAAAAAAAGGCATTGGGAAGTTGTTAAGTGGATATTGAGATATCTCAAGGGAGCTCCTGATGTTGGCCTAACCTTCCGAAAAAGTGAAGGTGTTTCAATTATCGGTTATGTAGATTTTGACTATGCAGGGATCCTGATAAAAGGAGGTCTACAATTTGATACATCTTTACTCTCGTTGGGAGTGCCGTTAGTTGGAAATCAACTTTACAATCGATTGTCGCTTTGTTTACAATAGAGGCAGAATAAATGGCCGCAACGGAGGCAGTGAAAGAAGCTATCTGGTTGAAATGTTTGGTGGCAGAATTGAGTTTGGTTTAGTTGGAATCAACTCTAAGATGTGATAGTCAAAGTGCTATTCATTTGATTAAAAATCAAAGATATCATGAGTGCACCAAACACATTGATGTCAGATTCCATTTTATTCGAGATGTCGTAAAAGAGGGAGCTATCAAGGTTGAAAAGGTTATCACAGACGATAACGATGCAGACATGTTGACCAAGATAGTCCCGCTTGCCAAGTTTGCACACTGCAAGGACTTGGCCGGAGTATGCATCAACTGATGCAACTCTTAGAGAACAACTGCTAGGTGGAGCTAGTATGTTTAACAAAGGTTTGATTTATCTTGTTTCTTACAACGGGATTGCCTAGTAAGTTTAGAAGTTTTGGCCGAAGTTGTTTATACACATGCTCGGAACGCAAACCAAGGTGTAGATTGAAAGAGTTGGTTTGGTTCTTGTGGAATCAAACTCAATGAAAGATGAATTAATATGAAGATTTGGTAAAAATAAAAGTCAAGATAGTATCTTGGTAGGTGAAATTTAGGTAAATCATAAAATGGTTTCACATCTTTAACATTGACATTTTTGACACATAGTGATGTCATGGATGACATCAATAGGAAAAATTCATTCCTATAAATAAGTAGCTCTTAATTCATTTTCAAATCATCCTCTCACTTGCCTTCTCACCTTCTAAGGCATTTAATGTTTTCTCTCTTGTAGTATTTCACTTGTATTCTTTGCAGAGTGAAATAAATATTTGTGCAATTGTTCTTTGGTGGAGGTATGATCATTTTGATTCGAACCACGTTAAATATTGTTGTTCTTCCTTGTTCTTTATTTTCACGTTTCCGCTAACATTGTCATATAATATACTTTTAAGCAACTTAGTTCATAGTAATTCAATTGTTTGGACATCTCAATAAATTGTTTTTGAGCCACGTCTATAAATTCAATTGGCATAATACATAACCATGATCCTTAACTTGGATTCAGCGGACAACTATCCCCTCCAACTTTGAGTGTGCACAAGTAGACACTTAAACTTGTATTATATTGAACAAGTACACACACGTGTCCTACATGGCATAATACACGTAGGACACAAAATTTCCATGTAGTGTGTCATGTAGGACGAAGGTGTCAATTTGTTCAATTTTATACAAGGTTAAGTGCCTACTTGTGCACATCCAAAAGTAAAGATCATGGTTGCTAGCTAACGCCAAGTTAAGGATCACATTTATGTATTATGCCAATTCAATTCTTTGGTCATCTTAATCTAGTATCTTTGAGCCAGGTCTATAAGTTCAACTATATTTAAAGGGTAATTAAACAAAAGTGTTGGACGTGTATGAACAAAATCCACATTGGCGTAACCGAAAAAAGTAAATTACTTGAAAAATGTTTGATACTTTTAAATTTCAATGGCGTAAGATATTTTAAAGAAAATTGTGTGAACATAACTCAAATTGGCAATATCACATCACACACGTTAAAACTTAAAAATATGTTTAAATTGTTTTAGCCCAACTAGAAGATCAAGGTTTATGGTAGTAATATTGTTGTTCATCCTGTATTCCTAAGATACTTAGAAAAAAAAACTTTGAAGAACTTGATAAGAAATAACAAAGTTTAAAGAGCATTTTCAAAACTAGAAAATTAAAACCAATAGAGAAAATAGAATTAGAAACGGATTAGAAACAATATTCAAAATATTTTTCTTAAAGAAGAAAATCGAGTCCACTGAATGCACAGTGTCCCCTTAAGGAAATTATTTCCCTCAAGTACCCGAGGTTAGTGGAATATATCCTCCCAGGATAGAACGATCTTACTCACCAGTGTATCGATATCTAAAACCACGGTGTCAATGAACCACTCAACGGCAGTAAAGTACATTTAAAATACTAGATTTAGTAGTAGTAGTAGAAGTCCAGAAAACTCATTCTTTAAAATGGGAGGAAACCCTCAATTTATAGAAAACAAAGGATAGTGTGAAAAGGTTCTTATTGTGCCTTACCGGAAATGTTACAATCTTTTGAAAATGTCACAACCTTTCATAAAAGTCACAACTCTTCATAAAAATCGCAACTTTTCATAGAAGTCGAAACTCTTCATTTTCCATTCACACTTTTTAAAACCCAACAAATATTACACTTGATCTTGGACAAAAAGGTCATAAAAAGAATAAAGGTATACACACATAATATTAATCTAAATGGATAGTCAAAATATACCTTAGTCTTTTCTTGAAGAAGTCGTTTGACACTTCAATCTTGACTTATCACATACTGAAGTTGAAAAAGGTCCCTTAACAAACTTCCATACACCTAGGATGTGTGGACTCTTCTTCTTTTTAATTGATCGTATCAAAGTAAACAAGGCAGACTCTCACTTTACCTTTAAAAATTTATATGAAGCCATTTTCTAATGCTATAAATAAAAGTGTGAGTATAATGTTCTTCTTTGTTGATATTATCACCTACCACAATGAAAAAACAAATACTTTTAAAATGATTGATTTTTGAGAGAACTAAAGATGCATATTGTTAATTGTTTGTGGTAGGTCAAGCAAACAACTGTGTTCACTAAATATCATGGTAACAAACTTATCATAAAACAAAAATAAATACTACTATCATGATAACACTATCATAACATTAGTAAGCTCCCCAACTGTCTATCTTTTTCAGATGCCAGTATATATGAACTCTGGAATATTTATAGTGTACACTCTATCTCTTCAGACCCCATTATATATCGTGGGATTTTAATATGTTATTGTTATTGTTAAATATCATGGAAGAGAAATTGCCACATTTAACACTATGAAAAGTATTGGTATATTAAGTTAGTAAGTTGCTAGCTTAGAGACATATGCATTTAGTTATGTTCCTTCCAAAACAGATAAAAGTACTACTAGCCATGTGTTGTCTGCTCTACAAAAAATTAAATTCCAATGCAATTCATCTTTAAGGGAGAAGGTGATAGACATAGACATCTATGGTACACGTCCACCACCACCAAAATGTTTTTGTTCATACTTGTATATTTTTTGAGATATTCGAAATTTACTGACCAACTAATTCGACTTTCTTAATTAGTAAGACCACTAAAAAGAAAAAAATATTATATGTATAGACCTAACGAAACTAAATTTACCTCAAATAGGTTTATTAGGAAAAACAAAGTGTTTCTATCTAATTAAAGATGGAAACGCCTTAACCTAGAGTTTTAGTTTTATCTTCTTTATTCCGTTGCAGACATAACATACATGATTACTATATACGACTATATGGCAATTTCGTGTAGTGACTTAGAACTAAGGTAACTTGATCATCTTCCGAAATTCTAAATAATTTATTGATCATTGACTGTAAGAGTGGACTGCTCTACATCCAGCCACACTATAGTGATCCAGAAGCGATTTTCTACTAATAGCGAGAAAATCCGACAACCAACTGCTGACTCTGAAGTAAATGATAAATATAAGGAAAAACAGAAGAAAAAAAAATATTCCACTAAAGTATGACAAAAAAAATAAAAAGTATTCTATGTCTCTTTCCCTCTCTTGGAATCTCTACTTTTTTACTACATAAAAAAAAATTCCTTATGAGCATGGGATTCCATAATTAAAGAGAAGAAAAGATGCATTTTTTTCTCAAATAATTGAGTAGAAGTAAGTTTAATACTACAAATAAATTATATATTTGCTATAAATTATACTCAAAATTAATAATGCAATAAATTTAGGCCAAGTGGCAGACAACTTGTGAACTCTTTATAATATAAGTTTTCCACTATCTAATCTTTAACCAAACATTTTAATTTAGGTCATCCAAAAAAATAAAATGATACCCTTAATTTTCCTATTCAAAATAAAAAAAAATAAAAATATATTCTAAAATTTTAAATTCAATTAAGTACACAGAATCCAAAACCCAATCCCTATGGACAAGGTTTTTTGCTCTCTCTTTTCCGAGATTTAATTCATTTATCAATATTATTAGTTTACGGTTTAAGAATTAACGATATTTAAAGTAAAAAATAAATATACATTTATAATTTAGATTTTTTAAAAGTTGTAATACTAGCTTTAATTACAAAGTTGACTTTTTGTAGAATGATATTATCTTCCACATATATAAAGTATTATAATTAAGTACAAAATTTTTTATTTTTAAAAAAGGTAAAAATTAAATTTGACATTCTAAATTTGAAAAAATAAAAAGTAGAAATATTTCACTCTGTAATCATTTCATTTTCTAATATATTACTATTTCTATTTTTAATTTTTAACAATCAAACCATTCCATACAGTATTGTTTCAGTTTAGTTGCAATAGTAAGTAAAAAATAAACAAAAAAGAAACTTCTTCTACTCTTCGGCGTCTCCGACGGTATCTTCCGCCGTAACGCCGCCGTCAGATGCCGAAATCTTCTACTGAAAAAATCTGTAATTCTCTCATGAATCTCAGTCTTCACTATACGATTACCTTAATTTTGGTAAAAGTTGAATGATGTACTTCTTTTGAAGTTGCCATTTTACTTTAAGAGTTTAATTTTGAGATCTGCTGCAAATTTAGAGATCAACAGCATTTTTTGCTGATCTACGGAGATTCGTATGTCAGTTGGATTCTAGTCTCTGTAAGTCTACTTTGATTCTCATTTGAAATTTCTTCTCCGGAATCTAGCTAAGTTTTGTGCTAATATTGTCTGTTGTTTATGATTTTTTTTTAAAAACCTTTTGTGTTCGTTGTTGTTTAGATCTTACTAGTATATTCGAAAATATGCAAATATTTTGTGTGATTTTTTTGTTTGTTTGTTTGAATTGAAATTGAATGTGAGTTAGAAGTTTTTTGACTTGAAATTGAAGGTGTCGGTTCTGTTGAATTTGACTGAGTCAATTGATGACTTGAGCTGTTGTTCTTTCTGGTACGGAGTATGTGGTGTTTTGAATATAGATTTAGATCTGGATATTTATTTCGATATATATAATGGTTGATGGATTTAGATTTGTTGGATTTGTGAGTTATTATTTAAGGTTAGGATATTACTGAAATGTTGAGTACTATTGAAGGTCGATCAGTGAGTTGATTTCGAATGATGAATTGCACATTAAAGTATTTCTCATTTATTTGCAGGCCTGTAACCATGTATTTTACGTGAATCGAGTTTTACTTATAAAAACCTGTGAGCTTTTGAAGGATTTCGTAGGGAAATTGGGCTGAAATTCTGGATTTAGAGATGGGAACGAACATGGAGGAAGCATTGAAAGCTAAAACAAATGCTGAAAGGAGATTCGTGGAGAAAGACATTTTGGGTGCAAAAAATTATGCTCTGAAAGCTCAGATGTTGTACCCTCACTTGGAAGGAATATCACAAATGGTAGCGACATTTGGAGTCCTTAGTGCTGCAGAGACGAAGGTTAATGGAGAATATGATTTCTATGCAATACTGGGTTTAGATTCCTCTGTTGACAAGGCTAAGCTGAAGAAACAGTATAAGAAGATGGCTGTGTTACTCCATCCTGATAAGAACAAAAGTGTTGGAGCTGATGGTGCATTTAGACTTGTCTCGGAAGCATGGACGGTGTTGTCTGATGCTTCCAAAAGAAGCTCGTATGATCACAGGAGAAGTTTATTTACTCTGCATGGTTCTGGTGTTGGGAGCTATGACAGTTACTCCAATTCATCAGTTTCTCACAACAGGCTTGATACATTTTGGACTGTTTGTACCTCTTGTCACGTTCAGTATGAATATCTAAGGAAGTATCTGAACAAAAGACTGTCCTGTAAGAACTGTCGTGGGGTTTTCATAGCTGCTGAAACAGGATTGGCTCCTGTTAATGGTTCCTATTCCTATAGCTCTTGGTCTAATGGATATGGAAGCCATGGTTGCGGGGCTACATATGTCCCAACGACATCTGTTTATCCTGCAAATAATGGGGTCTCAGGACATCATTCTGGACCTTGTTCCGAGCATGTCTCCAATTTGTCTTTTCAGTGGAGCTCCTGCGGAAATTCTGCTCCAGTTTTAGATTCCAATGGATCATCCACAGCTGTCAGTTTTGCGAACCAGGCAAGTAGGAAAATCACCAGAAGAAGAGGCAGAGGGAAGCATGAAGTGAAAAAGGTGGTGAGCAACGGGGTTCTTAACGGGCATGCTGTGTGCAATGAACAAATCCCCCGCAGGCCTGGTAGACCTCCTAAGAAGGTAAAAATTGGTGTGGAAGGTACATACAGCTTTAGTAATGGAGAAATGGCTCAAAAAACTGCTGGAGAAGTTAAAATGGCTGATGGAAATGGGGACGGAAATTTGAAACAAAATGTTAAGCTTCCAAATCCTGTTGAAGCTTCAATAAAAAGACATTCCGCTGCTCCTGCGTTTGATGCAAGACGGTTACTAATTGACAAGGCAAGAGCAGATATCCGCAAGAAACTGGAAGAGATCAAGTTGGCTTCAGAAGCTGCTGCTGCAGAGACCGAGAAGAAGAGAAAGGCAGATGCCGAGTTTGGTGAATCAGGTGAGAGACCTAAAGGGGCAGTACAGGAAATTGTTGTTCATCAATCAGAACTGGGGAAAACTGGATCCATGACAATAGTAGTCCCAGATTCTGACTTCCATGATTTTGACAAGGATAGGTCAGAAGATTGCTTCAGACCTAAGCAGATATGGGCTTTATATGATGAGGAAGATGGTATGCCTCGCTTGTATTGTTTGATTCGTGAAATCATATCTGTGAAACCATTCAAAGTTCATATCAGCTACATAAGTTCAAAGACAGATAGCGAATTTGGGCTGGTCAATTGGTTGGATTCTGGTTTTACCAAGTCATGTGGAAATTTTAGGGCCTTTAACTCTGAAATTGTTGAGCATGTAAACATATTTTCTCACCTGCTAAGTAAGGAGAAAGTTGGAAGGGGAGGTAGTATTAGAATCTACCCAAAAAGTGGAGACATTTGGGCTGTATATCGAAATTGGTCACCAGATTGGAACGGAACAACCCCAGCTGAAGTAAGGCACAAGTATGAAATGGTTGAGGTTCTTGATGATTATTCCGAAGAGCTTGGTGTCTGTGTTACTCCTTTGGTTAAATTAGATGGGTTCAAGACAGTATACTCTAGAAACACAGACAAGGATGCCATTCGATTGATTCCAAGAAGAGAGATGTTACGATTTTCACATCAGGTACCATCTTGCTTACTGAAAGGTGAAAGAATGAACTTGCCTGAGGGGTGCTGGGATCTTGACCCTGCTGCAATTCCAGAAGATTTACTTCAGCGAGTAAATGACGCCAAGGAGGAAAGAACTACTGAAGCTGAAAGCGCAGTGGGATTTGATCTAAATGTGACATCTCAAGCTGAAACCAAAATGTTGATGGAAGAAAAACTTGGACAAACAGAATATCCTGGTGTTCCTGATGAGCTCCATGGCACTAGATGTGGTTTGCAGATTCAAGATATCTCAAATGAACCGCAAAACCTGTTCAGGATTTCCACCGAGCTTCCTCAATCTGTAAAGGAAGTTCATAGTTGTGAAGAACCCAGCAGAATGGAAAAAAATTTCTCTGCTACACCAGGTGAGCATTTTCGGGCTGTAACAGAGGTATAGGTGAAGGAAAGCTTTACCAAGATAAATAAGGTATTAAAATCAGAGGTCCTGTTCATCAGTCATTCTAACAGTATCGAGATTCAAATTGTATAGATTTTAATACACAACGAAGAATGATTCTCAAAATATTAGATAGCTCCAAGGATCCAAGCAATACTTAACAGATGCCCCCATTGTTTTAGGCGGCTATAGGTCTGGTTAACGACTTGTAATGGTATTTCATATTCTGCTCTTAACTGCTTATTATGTCTCAGTTTAGTGATTATAAGGACATATTCTTGATGCCTTTGCTGAATGTTCTCAGGAACTGCAGTGTTATAGGCATCAAATCATCCTTGAAACATCCAACTGCTGTAGTTCAAATTTTCAATTCTATCTTGGTTTCTCTTCTGTGGCAGTGAATATTTCCTCCCAACTAACCTGGTTACTGATTTCTCACTCAATTGTTTGTTTAAACAAATCCTTATATTGAAGTATTTGATCTATGATTGTTCTTTACACAGGGTGATGGGATTTTAGATATTCTCAGATGGTTTTCGCAACGAAAACAAATGCTTACTCATTCATGCCTGTAATTGTATTGGTTTATGGAGTAAATGATATGTTTCTAAAGCTACAAAGAAGCTTTTGCCCTATTTGCTGTAGGGTACTACAAGGAGATAAAATATATTTTCTTAAGCCAAATTTCACATGTGAGATTGCGAAAGGGTGGTGAGCCTAATCCCTAACTTACAAAGGTAGAGAGATTATTTTTTACTACGAAAAAAAATCAAGAAAAGGAATTACTTAAGTGCTATCTCTTTTATTATTCACATGATTTTGCCATTCAGTACTCTGGAGTTGTTTGAAAACGAAGCCAAACAAGCTTAGGCCAAAATGAGTGATGTGATAAAAAGTGCAAACCATATAGCACCCCAGGTAAATTGATAGGGAAAATATTTGGATCTCGTGTCCCTTTGTACTACTATTTGGGGACCTAAGGATAGTAATTCTTTCTCTTAGGCCCAAATTTGAACGTAGTATATGTATAAAAAGATAGATACTTATAAATTAGAAGAAAAACTTTCAATTAATAATTTGTGTAATTATTTGATAATCCTGGAGTAGTAGTAGGAATCCAACAATCTTATTTTAGGTACTTTATAAGGTTTTATGAAGAAAGTGATACAAGCATGCGAACGTTGCACTATCCAAATGGTAGCACCTTATTGTAGTGATGTCCTTGAGCATAGGTAAGTACATGGGCTTTAAAACAATCATTAGATGCGTCTGCCATCATTAAATCAACAATCATCCAAACCATATAACTCCTAGCCTTCTCATTGACCATATTCTATGTTGCCAACAGGTAATTGTGGTCGAAGTTGCAAGTGTTTATTCAACGCTAAGACCTTGAGGTTACTATGTTTAAAGTGTTGAGAACATGGAGTAAAACCTAATAATTTTTGACAAATATTCTATCAATGTGCAATGGTAACTATGTGCTCATACCCAAGTATTGGATCACCTATCACGAGTAGGTCATAAAACACTTTTACGTTCTGAAAGGTGTGATTGTTGCCTCACCCATCCTAAAGTGGAAAGTATGAGTCTCAGCTTCTCAACTAGTGCAGTGATTAAACTACGATTAACATGCAATGAGATTTTTAAACACCATACAATTCGGATAATGTAATCACTTCTAAGACTCGTGAATGAATGAGATATTCCTTTACAAGGTCCCAAAACTTTTCGTCATACTTCTTCATATTCAGAATCATATTATCATTTTCTTTTCATATATCTCGTGAACTATAAGTATATTATTCAGTTAATATAGACAATCAAGTGGATCACCAATAATTAAATTTTTTGACAATAATTATGGTGTAGATTAGGAACAGAAAGACAACAGTTAGGGATAGAGATGCTTTTTTAACTCTACGTGAATCTAAATTTTTGGCTGCCAATGTTTTGTTCAATTTGGAGTAAATCATTACTTCCAGTTACGTATATATGTTAACTCGCAATTCAGAATAACAAGTTCAAAGAAAATGACATCGTTTTCTCAAATAAGGGTGCTGCTATTACTCGCGGTTTAGATTACAACGCATAGATCTCATACCAAATCCCAACAATATATTTATATTCAAAGCCGTTAGCCATTTGTCATCCGTCTCTTTGCCTATTGAATATTTTAAATAATTCAAGGACTATTTAATACTTCTAATCGAATACAAGATATAATAATCTTATATTTATCACAAAATTATTATACCTTATATCTCACCCCAAACGACTCAATAAGTGTATTGAAAAATTATTTTTTTCCTACATAATTACTTCTTTAGGAAATAGTCAAAAAATAAGTTTATGAGTAGAGGCAACAGACTTATGCTGCGACGACCAAACTTGAACAAAGTTGCAAAGATCAAAACCAGTTCATCCAAAAACCAGAAATCATCAAAAATGGATCCTCAAATCTGGCACAAGATTGCTGCTATATCTGGTAAACTACTTCTCTTTTATTCTTATAAAAAAATGATTTTCTGGGTTTAAAGAATCCCTTAACTGAAAAATTGTAAGCTTTGGGAAACAGGTGTAGCTGCTGTTGGGTTAGGAGCTTATGGTGCTCATGGCTTCAAGCCCCAAAACCCCACTTACAAAGAGGTTCTTGTTTTCTTTTTTAACCCCTTTTTCTCATCATTCCGTTTAGTATTTTCTTTGTTGGGTTATGAATAAAGATTGAGTTTTTAGGTTATTTTGTTGCAATTGGGAATTACAGGTGTGGCATACTGCGTCATTGTACCATCTGGTTCACACTGCTGCCCTTCTTGCTGCGCCTATCACTAAACATCCAAACATTGTGAGTTCCCTGTCTGCTTTTGTCACTAATTTTAAGTACCGGACCCCAACTCATTTGGGACTGAGCAGGGGCGGAGCTAGGGTACTGGAAGGGGGTTCGTTGAAAAATTACATTGTATATAGACGATCTAAATTATCTTTTTATTTAATGTATATATAGTAGACATTGAACCCTTTTTGACTTCTTGGTATGTTTACTTTTGTATATTTTGAATCCCTTTTCATGTGTTAACTTTTTTTATATTTTGAATGCTTAAAGTGAAAATCTTGGTTCTTGCATTGTGACTGAGGGGTAGTTGTTGTTATTGTTTTGTTGTTGTAGTTTGGAGGGCTGTTAACTGGTGGAATTATGGCTTTCTCTGGAACGTAAGTACTTCTATTTCTTTTCTGTGCTTGTGGTCGTGTTTGAATGGACTGATATTAGTGCTTTGATACCATTCTACCTTGTTCTAAATTGAGAACTAGCTAGTGTAAACTCAAAGACACTTTCTTTCATAATCCTTGAGTGAAATTCTAAATCTACTGATCCCACACGCGCACACATACACACACCTATAGCAAAGTATTCTTTGAAATATTAGGATATCTGCAGCTGCAATGTTGTCTGTTAGTTACTGGTTGAGAAATAATGGATATCTTTTAGAAGTATTGTTGCCAAACTTACATCATTTCCAAGATCATAAGTACCTATACAAACGGGTGTAAAGCGTATGTTTACAAACAGGTGTAAAGCGTAGCATTGCACAGTTTGGAAATTCCCTCCTTTTCTTGTAATCTGTTGACAGGAGCATCTCCCTCCTCAGCTCCTCCTGTCGCTGTGAAGTGTAATCATGTCTAAATCTGTTAATCAGCAATTAAATGTACTAGAGATTTCTAAATAACAGAAGGACACCAATTAGTCTCGTCTGAGCTTTGGATCCAGCATAAAGCCTTCAGCAGTCAAATTGTGAATATGGGAAGCTAAGTCCAGAACACTCTAAAGATAAATTGCACATTTGTGATGCTAAAAGCTGCTCTGAACAGCAATGTTTGTGATTCCTATTGTGTTTCCAAATAAAAGAAGGCTTTTCCTGAAATTGGTGAAATTGTTAACTATGAGTTCTGGTCTTTAAGTTCGGGACGTCTCCTTCACTAGGATTAAAAATAAACTGAAGGTGTTCTCGTTGCCCGATAGTTCACCTCTATGACTACTTGAGCTACATCAGAACCCATACCTCAGATCTTCGTTACTTCCTTATAAAAGAAAAGATAATAACTGAAAATTGTCAAAGAATATTATATATGGATCAGTTACCTTTTCTTGTAAGTTGATTTTATAAGGTCACGTGTCATTTTATGCTGGAAAAAGATAATCTATCCGCTGTTTCAGAATGTAAGAGACCATAAAAGTTTAAAAGTTCAAGAATTAGAGAAGAAGGTGATTATCAGTATCAGTTTTCAGCAATTAAGAAGTTTGATTTCTTTGTCTTGAAACTCAATTCTAACCAAAATTTCCCCATAGTAGGTTTCAACTTTAATCTGGGTCAAGCTTTGGCCTTTCCAGCTTGAATGTCTTTATATTATACGGCTACTGAATATTGCAGTTTAAAATACTTGATAGTATACTATGTGTTAAAAATAAGTCCAATAGTTCTTTTGGATAAACTTTTTGTTGATCATGAAATTCGTGTAGCTTTCCATATAGTATGTATTATACATTGTTAATATTTAAGCATGTCATTTGGGGACTTGAACGATTTGGCATGGATCTGCAATGCAATTCACATATTTCATTCTTTTTTGGTTGTGGATCCTCTGGTAACTTTTTTATGACATTTGATATCCTAAAAGTCATGATAATTTCTAAAAACAGTTATTGCACCTATTTAGTCTAGTTATGCAAAACCCCTTTTTCTTCAAAGAAATTCATGTTTAAGGTGTTGGAGAAGTGAAATTTATGAGATCATGATTGTAGTTTTCTCACGAGTAGAATCAATTTTCAGTAATCATAGTCATGTTTTTTTTGTGATTGTTGCATTTAGAACTTGCTTCTTAAAATAAAACAAACGCATAAGCATTGATGATGTTGGACCTAAAAACTTATGGATTTGGAACCGAAAGCAATTACTTAGAAACTGTATTGCTTGAAAGTTTGTTAGTTGGACGCTTCAGCATTCATTTGAATGAACATGCTTGGATGGCCAAGCATAGGTGTTTCTTTTGATACAGGCTGGTGATTTTTAGTCCGCTCATATATTCAATTACAGATGGATATTTAGTGGTTTAATTTGATTCAACTTGCCCTATGTCTATAATATAAATGCCAAAATGTTCGTTTTATAGGTTTTATCTGGACAAGAGTCTGAATGAATCAAATATGATTTTGTTAGATGATTAATACCAAATAGATTGGAAGTCTAGTTGAATACTACTACTATCATCTTCTTAAGTAAACATTTCGATAAATATACATTCACTTCAGTAATGAGTGTAATTGAGAAAAGCAAAATGCGGGTACATCTGTCTGCAGGTGCTATGCAGTTGCACTTCTTGAAGACAGGAAATACTCAACCTTAGCCCCTTTCGGTGGCTTTGCATTTATTGCTGCTTGGGCAAGTTTATTGTTTTAGGAGAACGGATGCCCAGAGTTAGCAAGCTGCAGTTGCTAAACTTGATTGATGATGAGCGTTTGGTGAATTAAACGTGCTAGTGACACTTTCTTGTTTCACTTTCTGTAAAAGAGCAACAGATCTGGTGGAAATATCCTGTAAGCACCATTCGACATTCCTTTAATGTGTAAAAGAGATGTTGAAGTTCAGTATACTGAATATTCCATATAATTCTTGTTTCACTTTCTGTAAAATAGCAACGGATCTGGTGGAAATATCCTGTAAGCACCATTCGACATTCCTTGAATGTGTAAAAGAGATGTTGAAGTTCAGTATACTGAATGCTCCATATAACTTATTGATAAATTTGATTTGAAATTTCCTAATATGAAGTTAATGCTGAGTTCAAGCTTTCATATTGTTTCACCATGGTGCATAAGCCTGAGTTTATCTCTAGCAAGTGGAGTCACCCGGGCCAATTAAACCGAGGTATGGCAATTGAGTTGATTTTGCACTCATCTTTTTCATATGATTTTTAATTGGTTACATACACTAGCTGAAATTGCGTTGTATGAGTAAAGAAACACCCAATACAGTTAAATTAACAAATGCATGATATAGCAGCCTCTGTCTCGAATTGTTTTAGTTGCAATAACTACAATATGTTGAATTCAACTACTCAAAACCAGGATATAGTTGGTTGTCTAATCTCCGGGATCATCTTTCTTGGCATAAATTATGAAAACCTGAACTTGGCATTTAAGAGATTGAAAAACACAAAGTACTAGGGCATGTACTCGTAGTGGCAAGAATTATGACCTGTAAGCAAGCAAAATGTGGATCAAAAGTTAGCTGATATGTTGTTGTATACTAACAAGAAGTAAAGAATCTGTGAAGAAGACAGAGAAAAAGCAAGTAGTAATAAAAGTAAAAGCTACTTAATAGCACATGATAGTATATAAGATGATCCAGATCCATACTGAGCTTAGCATATAAGATTTCACATGGTCTCTTTTTTTCTTTGTACTTTAACATGGTTTCATGTGATAACATGATCTAGACATTCCTTTGGACACAAGACAAGTTTTTCCTTTTACCCCCACCCCACCCTTTTATTCAAGATATCATTGGTGCATTTGGATAGTGTCATACAGAAGCGGATCCATGATTTGAACTTTACATAGAAGTTCAGTATCGATCTTCAATTTCTATTCTATGTTATATCGATACTGAACTTAACTTTTTCCAAACATGAGAATCATTCTTAGTTGAGCGAGAATCTCCCTTCTAGGAGTATACTCCTGCCATTCCTCTAATCGTGTAATTTGGCACATATTGGTTGATAACACAAGCTTACTAACCTAATATCTGTCATCTGTTTCTTGTTAAAGACATTATATAATTTGCAAATTGAAACAGAAAACAGGTAGTACTTACTAGGATCAACTTGAATAACCATTGCAGCATTGTTGAAGAAACAGGTTCCACCTTTCTTCTTGTACTTCTGAAAGTAACTATTAAAGGCATAAGAAGCATGGTCTCTCACAGTATTTGGATAATAACAAGACTGGTCCTTTTGAATCTTGCTACAATCTGCACCCCCTTTCCCACATGCCCAATCTAAAGCCACTTGCAACTCAGTATCTGGTGTCTGTTCATCTGCTATGCACCATTCTTCTAGTTGCCCATTCACTATGAAAACACCAAAAGAAAAAAAAAGGGAAATAAAATGTGTGAGTTGTGACTATCAAACAACAACAACATACCCTGAAATCCCACAAGTAGAGTCTGGGGAGGGTAGAGTGTACGCAGATGAGATTTTACCTGAAATTTTTGTGAGAAACATGAAAAGCAGCAGAGCAAGAAAACTTCTTGACATTACTTCTCCTTTGTGACAAGGTGAGATTGACAATTTCTTTTGAGGTTATGGGAATGGTGAGTGGTGCTCAACTGACAGTTTATCAAGATTTATAATGTAATGCACAAGTTTCTGTAATTATATTTTTTGTTGGTATTTGGTGAAGTGGGATGTTATCTAGGTCTCACATGCAGGAGTTTAACCAATAAAATTTGGGCTCTGCTAATGTTACTTTTCATATTGTTTATTAGAAAAGATTCTGACTAACATACAAAAATATGTCTCTGACCATACTTGTTCACAGAATTGAACAAGTGCTTTATGTGTAGGCTATATTTTATATAATTGTCATAGAAAGACAAATGAATGAAATTACTCTTGATTTTGTAGCCTATGTACAATAAATCTAATGTATTAAGCTCTTCTTAAATCATTTATATAGTCGAAGCTTAGTGTATCGAGTTGCACTAAGACTTTCACATAATGATAGTTTTAAAAAGAGAAAATACATAATTACCCCATTAAAGGAAGACCTATTTTTTAAAAAGACACTTTAACTTTGTGGGGGTCCTAGTACCTCCTTAAACAATTTTAAAGTGTTGTAAATATGTCATTTTTCAGCCATCCTCAATTGCAAGAAAAGAAGTGCAATGACGCACCACTTATTATCTGTCACGTGTTAAATTTTAATTTTTTATCTTTATTTTCATTTTTGTTTCTTTTTCTTATTTTCTTATTTTCATTTTCTTTTTCTCTTTCTTCATTACCCTCCTCTACTCTTCTTCGGTCCTTCTAGCTGCCCAGAAATCCTCGACGTAGCCTCCATCTTCGTCAATTCTCCGGAGTAGTCTTCAACGTCACTATTATAATACCATAATATCATCATTTTTTTGTTAAATCAAAAATAAAATTACTAACAAATTATAAATTGAAAATTATTAATCGCCTCCAATCTACCATCTCCTTTTCAAAATTACAATAATTATGCAGCGGAACTCCATTGCGATGAAGGTAATGGAATTTATAATACTCTCAAATCGAAGAAATTTCTTTATTTACATGCTAAAGAACTACATAACAATTTATTTATTTATGTTTAAAAAAGAACAATGTTATCAAGGAGGTTTACAATTATTATTATTTTGAAAAAAATAAGGGACAAAAGAAGAAAAAGGAACAAAGAGAAGCAAGAAGACAAGGAAAAAAATGAGTGAAGTAAATGAGTCTTCTAAGTTGAAGAAGATAGAGAGGAGGTAGTTGGTTCTTTTGAAATTTGGGGAAGAAAATAACAAAAATTGAGAAAGTACAATAAAATAAATAAAAGAAAATAAAAAATAATATTTTAAATTAAATAAATGCTTAAATAAATATTATTTACTTTTTGGTTAAGCTCACTCTCTATCAGAGAGTGAACTACACTCTACATACCACGTAGGAACGTAATGGGACAATTAATTCATTCTAAATAAGAATAATGGAGTAATAGGACCCCTACAAAGTTCAAGTGCCTTTTTAAAAAATAGGTCTTACTTTTAATGGGGTAATTATATATTTTCTCAATTAAAAATTGTGGCTTGCCTTCCTAGCCCCAGGTCATGGTGGTGATTGGCATACAAACCTTTCTATAATAACCTCTAGTAACATTTTATGATTTTATTTTTTTAAAAAAAATTAAATTGATTTTACATGTTACTTATATTTTACCTCTTTATAATATTTTTTTATGTAGAACATACATCTATCTTTATAATAATACGCTCTTTATAAAATTACTTCTCTATAACAATAATTTTTATAGAAATAGAATGTCTAGGATTGACACTAACATGTTTAGATATTTTGACCCATTATTTTATACATTTTAGTTATGGATTTATTAATAATACATTAGTTTTTTTTTTTTAAAAAAGAAATTAATCAGTATGCACATCTTTTAAAAAAATGTCCGAATAAACAAGGTTGTTACAAAGAGGGTTTCGATAATCTACAAAATTATTTAAATAAGAAAAACACTTTAAGAGTGAAGGTTTTAAGATAATTAAAAGTAAGAAAATATAAGCTCACAAAATTTAGTCTGCTAATTACCAAAGTTTATTTATTTATATAAAACAACAATTGTAAAACCAATAATATTGTATATGAGTGCAAGTTTTATAATGACGATTTCAAATGTTAATAACTGAGTTCTAAACTTAATATTTGTATATATTTAATAAACTTATTAATATAAATATATTCTTTGAGCAAAAGTTATTGAATTCGATTGAACTCGTATCCGAACTTCTAACATATCAATATAAGTTTATAAAATATTAGTAATACACACACCTAAGAGTGTGACTTAGTGATCAATAAAATAGTTGAGAACGTTGATGTTGCACATTCAAATGTAATTAAAAAAAATATACATTAAGAACTCATGTAACTAATTCCACCTGGGATTAAGGTCTAATTTGTATATCACAGAAAAAGATGGGGTTTTCTTGCACATACAGAAAAATTCATAAAGCGAACCTTTCTGTAATTTTTCAAATTTATCGAAACTCCGATCGATTCAAAGTTGAAGCTCTCAGAGACACGTGAACCATGGCAACGGCGGTTGGGATCGGGGAAAGAAATTCCGGTGCCGGTGGTGGAACCTTATCGGAACTTTACCAAAGCTCGAGACGGCTCTTACTCAAGTCTCGAGATGGTTTGGAGAGGCTCGAGCGTTTCGAGTACACTTCGTCGTCTTCTTCTTCCATGCTACCGTCATCTTCATCTTCATCTTCGAGTGCTGTCATGGCCGATCCTTCGGAACAACCGTTTGATGCAGTAAGACAAGATATCGCTCAGATCCAGTCTCTTTGCTCTAAGATGGAACTTCTCTGGCGATCCATATCTGCCAAATCCCAGCGTGATCTCTGGAAAAGGTAGGGTTCATCGAATTTCGATCTATCGTATTGAGATTGCTTTGCTTTAAAATTCAAATTACGTAGTATTGGAATGATATGAGTGTAATATATACTAGGATTTGTATTGCTGATTCAGTAAGTTGGGATTGAAATATGATTGATTGATAAGTTAAAATTGAATTCTAATTTTTCTGTAATTTGTGGTCTAGTTTGGTTGATTTCTTCGATCAAGGTGAATATGTTTGAGATTATACCTTGTTTAATTCTTTACATATTTATAATTGAGAGGTCTAATTGCGCATCATGTGTGGTTAGGCAGGATTATGAACTAAAATATATAACTCATTGAAATTTGCTGCTTTAAGTTTTTCTCCTTTTGTTCTCCCTTTAAGTATCAGGTTTCCGTCTATGCTATCAGAGTATTAGTGCCAAATAAGATAGAATCAGCAAATATTTTTTGTTTCAAATTTTGAGTTTGTTTGAATTTGGAGGTTGTTTATTAATGGATCCGATTAGTTAAGATCCTTTCCCATGTAAAATTTTGATTCCATCTGAGGGACACTGACTAAGAGGCTTACTGGAAGCCGGAAGGTAGCTGAATCCCAATTCTTTATGAGCTGACATCATATTTTCTTTCAACGTTGACTTTCACTTAGAGTTGTTAGTCTGCATTGCGCAGGTTAGTTGGTTCTCCATTCAGATGAGGTTGACATTTGTATATGGAGTATGTATAGGTTTCACATTAGAAATGTAGTTTACAATGCTTGAAGTACTGTGTTCAGTCTTAGCAAACGAGGCTTAAAATCTCAGTAGGATCACTCCTCTTTGTAATGTTCAGCAACAACTTCTCTTGGTGTTGTACTTTGTAAAATTTTGGTGATTCAAGTATAATGAATCACATTCCTAATTATACTATACAATGCAATAGGTAACAACCATCCAAACAAGTAAAGAAATGAAAGCCATTTTAAAGGGACTTGAGAAAATTAGTTAGTGACCCTCTTCTTTCCATCCTATTAGGTGTCCATTGAACTTGGGGAATGGGAAAAATGTGTATCGATCTTGTTATCAACTTTCGATGCATGGATGAAGATTTAGACAGGTGAGTGGATTCTGTGTGTATTTAGGTCAACGGAGCTCCTAATCCTATTAAATCAGTTACAAGTCACTTGTTTTTAAAAAAAGTTGCATGTCACCGGATTATTGCCTTAGCTCCGCTAGGATTACATAAGAGGGTTATATTCGTATGGGTTAGTTGAGAAAGGTGCAAAATCTGTAATGGAGAAAGCACCATCTTGCAATATCTGATGTGCCTGGTTACTGAATTAAGGAGTGGCTTATTAAGTTGACTGTTGTACTCTAGGAGTAAACCAGAAGGTCAGGCTCTTTGGAGCTTGTTTATTGTATGCCCAATGGTAGTCAGTCTTCTGCTTATTTCACGTTGATATTGCATGTTGAGTTTATGTCTTCCTTATGCAGAAAAGTGGAACAAGTGGCTGAAGAAGCTGACTCTTTGAAAGCTAGTCTGGATAAATATAATTTAAGACATCAGCGACGCATGCAAGAAGCCCGGGAGAGAGCAGAACTGATTGGGAGAAGTGTATGGCGTTATTTTCTTAGTGGTGTTATTAAATATTTTTGTTGATACTCTGATGTTTCCTTCTAATGGATTACTTTATGTTCTAGAACGGTGATTCATCCCATGTTCTGAGGATTTTTGATGACGAAGCACAGGCGATGCAATCTGCTCGTAATTCATCCAGAATGATGGAAGAAACCTTGGCAACAGGTGTGGCCATTCTATCCAAATATAGTGAGCAAAGGGATCGTTTGAAGGTACTTTCTGATGGAGACCTGATTCACTTCTTTACATATTGTACAGCATAGAAGCTTGTTTAGTTCGTTACTGCAATGAAAAGAGATTTTATGTGCTGGGAATTTTGCCTGGAAAGTGGAGAAAATATTGCCTGTTTAGTAAGAGCGTTTAGCTATCTTATACTCCCTCCGTTCACCTTTACTTGTCACACCCATTAAGAAAACAATATTGACATGGCTAGTTTACCACACTACCCCTATTAATTGATGTTTAGTATTAATGTTTTGGAAAATGATTTGGGAATAAGTAATTATTGCCTAGTGTAAAGAATGAAAAAAAATAATTGTCTTTTTTTTGATATGTTAAAAATGATAAGTAAAAGTGAATCTATTTTTGGAATAGTGAACAAGTAAAAGTGAACAGAGGGGGAGTAGTTCCAAGTTCTACTACTACTTTCACCAGCTATGTTTGGCTCGAAGGGGGAAGTTGAAATAGTCAATATATATTAGCTGATGAAAGTATGGTTTCTCTCCTCCATGTTTTACTTAAATGAATTTAGAGACAGAACGGTAATAAGCGCATATGATAATGAGGGATGGTTAATCTTCATAATTTTTTTAAAAAAGATGAGGG